GACTGTGTTCGTCAGACCTCTAACCATTGACCAACATGGTGTGAGAGACTCTGTGAGTGTCGCGGGACACTCTCCAGTATAGCTCAATGGATCGCTGAGGTGCGCAAACCGTCACATCACGGTAAGGTCCAGTCTCTTCGTGACGGTGGTCACTGATTAGCATTTGCAACAACCTCAAATGGTCACTGATTAGCATTTGCGGTTGTTGCACTGGATCTGGTGATTTTCTTTGGAATGTCCAACTGATGCTCGTACTTCGGTAATTTGTTGTCTGCCGATATTGGTGCTCACTTTAGCCGCACCGTCAATCCTGAAAATAATCAGAAACGCAGGGTATTTTGTTCCCGTCAGAGCTGATAATCTAAAACATGCAAATCTGTCGCACAGCTTCTTAGACTCATTTATATCCACGTTGTTTGACTTTCAGGTGGAACATCTCCATGGAGAAGGAAGAAAAAGACGATGCACTGGTACGTACTAATGTTCGTAGTGGATTTTTTCCGTGCTTCTAGGTGGAGCAGCCTGTTCTGGTGGAAGAACCTCTGGATCTTATAAGACTGAGTTTGGATGAGAGAATATACGTGAAAATGAGACACAATCGGGAGCTTCGTGGCACATTACACGTGAGTTGGTTTTCTTTTACCTGCAAGCGGTTCGAAATGGTGCGGGTGGCAATTATATAAAATGTAAACGCGCCAAATCCTCCATGATCTTCGTCAACCGATAACTGTGCTGAACCATAGCTAATCAAGTTAAAAATTGGAGAAAGAGTCCACCTATATCCCGGTACGAGTGTGAATCTTAGTGCTGAGTCAGTGCTGGCTCAGTGGTTAGAGTGCGAGTTCACTGATCGGAAGGTCCATGTTTCGAACCCGGCCCCTGCATCTCGACTTCTCTGTACGCTTGGGCAACCTGACAGTATCCCAACCCTCTAGTTTCCTTCTGGTGACATTGCAGCTAGGCAGCTAGGCACCGAAAGGGTGTTATAACTGAATGATTCATTTTTTCTGTATTTTTTTTATCTGGATAAGATCGACGTCTGATGTGAAAGTCACATAGACTTTGAGCTTTGAAAGTACTACGCGCATGCCGAAAAATGGTTGTCAGTGTATTCATCTTCAAGGATGAAGGAGATGTCTGCATACTCCGGATTAACCAGATTCTCACCATCAGCAGTTTGAACACTGGGGTTTTGAAGACATTCCAGCGTTCGTCTCTTTATTTCATCAACGAAGTTGAACAAAAATAGAGAGAGTGGACATTCTTGTCGGACACCATACTTTGCAGGGAAGCTTTTGGAGGGCTAACAATACACTCCCAGATGTATGCGAACATGGGGATAATATCATTTTCACAAACGTGCAGGGCATAACACGTTGGACAAGTGTGGTTAACAGGGCTGACCGATCGGCGGAATCAAATGCATGCTTGAAGTCAAAAAACACAAAGGTTATGCGTAGTCGGTACATATGGCGTATCTCTAACACATGAATTGTAAAGATACGGTTGGCGCAGCCTCTACGCGGTCGAAATTTCGTTCGATGCTCACAAGTCAAGGATTCTTGTGCTGCCACAGGACGCCGAAGAATCAGTGACACCATAAGCGGGAGTCAAACTACATCCACTGTAAGTAGGTATCATGGTTGTAGGTGGAGTGGGATTCTGCTAGGGCGCCCACACCTAGACAGGAGGACGATTAGGTCCTCAAGCAAATCCTTTGGTTCCAAAGCCTGACCCCCAAGACAACGGTGTTTGGTGGGGAATTTAAATACATTACCATTTTTATAAAACAAGTCGCCACACATGTTCCAACCCCCAATCTAGAGGGCCAGGAGACTGTGTTGGTTAAACCTCTAGTGATTGACCAACCTGGTATGAGAGACTGAGTATCGCATGAACACCACCCAGTATAGGTCAATTGTTCACGGAGGCCCACAAACCCTCACACGACGGTAAGGTCCGGTCTCTTTGTGATGGTGAGTGATACTGATCAGGTTGTTTTCTATCCAACAAGAACTACTTATAGGCGTAGTGCACTACTCATAAGGCTGTTGAGTACTCTTCCACAGCCCGCGACCGGTTTCACTTTTCTTGGGGCTCATCAGTTAAGTGCAGTCCCCATCAACCTTCTGCTCTATGTGAACACAAATTACACGAAATTAGCAAAATACATTCATCTGCATACCAATTTGGATTTGACCGGAGGCTTACCTGGAACCCAGACGAATCTCCCGTAGAGTCCAAATTGGTAAGCAAATGAGTGTGTTTCTCTAAGAACTACGTCTCTACGGGGTCCAATGTAAGATGACCCCCGTAGAAATGTTCCCTCGAGGAGGCTGAATTCCGTGTGTAGAATTGCAGCAGCGTTCATAATCTAGCACAACCTGATGTTAATTCTACTATGATATCCTCAACACTTTTCTGTTGTTTTTGTCAATTCTATATATGGTCGACATTGTTATTATCTCACTTTTACTGTCTGGGCGGCAAATTTTTACCACCGTTTAATTGCCGATACTCCTAACTTAGAGAATTAGACCTACAGACGGTCGATCTGATAGGTTGTGCAGCCTCAGCGTAACACTATTCGCTGTACATACAATCACGCTGGTTCACATTGGAGCTAACGACTGACAATGATAATACAGCAAGGCCTTTTCAAATTGACGGCCGATTGGAACTGTTGCAAACCGTTACTCCAGAAAGGTGCATACTGTAGATATTGTTTTGGCAGTGAATATTTGGATCCACCACAGATTGGGGTTTCGACATTATCTACGGACCCGAGGCTTTCGCACCCTCAAGTTGTCCAGCTGGTAGGCGTTAGGAATTCACGAGGGTTCATGAAATTCTCCCTTGATTACCGAGGTGTGCATCTTGTGTGTAGACCTGAAAAGCGCAAATAAATGCGGCAGTACGTGATAGTAGCTCACACAACCATATTCTGTAAACAGCACAAAACGACGACACTTTTCTCGTGTATAGTTCAGAGGGGCTACCAAACTAACCCCCATCAGCATATACTTGTGCGGCTGTCACCAGCGACCACAGTGATATTTGAGCTTTTAGTTCGTTGTAAAAAAACACGTAGGGCGTAATACTACCTATTTCGCAAATCTGGAGTTACAGTATACCGGGGCATAAATAGACACACCAAACAGAGCGACGGACTTCTTGAGTTTCTTCCACAAATGTTGCCAAATGAACCACGTACGGACGGCTACCATAGGTCACTCAGCCAAGTAGGACCACTGACGTCAGCATATCCAAACACAAGCCTTCACCCTACCAGATGTTAGTTGTGAGCGTGATAAGAGTGATGAAGCAGTCAGTTCTGTCACCGATTTACGTCCTGACTCCTTGTTTCTGAAAACCGGCTTGTGACAGTACAGAGGAAATGCACTGTCGAGCAAAATCAGCTTGTTATCCTGTTTGTTTCAGAGAAGAACAATGAAGACAGCTCAGTGAACTGTAGTTCGGGGTTTGGAAAGTGATTTGGAATTACTGAGGACTGTTACTGCAGGCGGACGCAATGGACTAATCACTAAGGCTGATGTGAGGTGATCAGAACCGTCACTTTTGGTGATGCGACTTGTGCAGTGAGTAGATTCTGTAAACTGCAAGTCCTCTGTCGTGGCATCCTCTTGATAGTTTGGAAGGAGCACGAGATCTGAGATGGTGCCAGATTGTCTAATTCCAAACAAGAACCGTCGGGAAGGCTGCGTTTGTTTTTGAACCGTTAATGGAACTTTTTAGGTTTGAGGAAATTCGGGGGGCCACAAGGAAATAAATTCAACGTATAACACGTTTTTCCTCCACTCCTTTGTTTTGTTAGAGGTGAGAAAACAAAGCCAATGTGTCACGAAATTAATTTTGATGGTGAAGTTCGTGGTACTGCCAGGGTGCTAAAACCTAAACTGGAGGACGGTGCAAAATCTAAGTCTCAAGGTAACAATTGGAAGTCAGCATACTACTACTACGAGTTTTTGGGGAGCGCGTTGCTGCAAACGTTCCGAACCCTTGCTTTGTTTGTGAGAACTTTTTCCACTGGCCGACTGTCCTGTTGACCCCCAAGTGTGGCTTGCACAGTCCGCGCAAATCGTCACACCGCGTTAGTGTCCAGCCACTTCTCCAAAACCAATCGCCAGCTTATCCCTTGTGGGGAAAAAGCTTGATATGATCGTCCTTGAGGTAGTGCTTCCTAGACAAGAAAGTCGATTCACAAGTTTTCCGTAAGATACTTTTGCACACTGCCCACAATTTTTTCGGATGAATAACGTGACCACTGTTCATTCTTTTTGCACAGGCTTTTGATTCACATTTAAACATGATCCTTGGAAATGCTGAAGAAACAGTGACAACGCTGGAAATTGATGAGGAAACATTCGAGGAGGTCTACAAGGTAATCTCACTTTTCTCTTGACCTAAATTTCTAGACAACGAAACGGACTATTCCAATGCTTTTTATTCGTGGTGACGGTGTCATTTTGGTTTCTCCACCACAAAAAGAATGAAGTGCTCCCCCTGCGTTGTGTAAAAAAGTTGCACGTGTACAAATTTCAATAATGATTTCTCTACTTTATCGGGGCAGTGGTACATTACCGCAAAGTTATACTAAGATCTACGGGCAACCTATGAACAAGGCAAGTAATCCGCAACATATTCCTATGGGCAATATTCGTTTTCTGGAAATGTCATTAAGGCTTATCCTCAGATCCGTAATACTACTGTTGTGTTGACCAACCGAGCTGAAGACATAGCAGTCGACGCTTGCAATAATTTTGCAGGCCCAGCTGTCTCAGTCCGTTTACCGTCACTTCATTATAGATTAAGTCCGAAGATTTTAGATGCTCTAGCTACCAACAAGGCGGCTAACATATTGCTGCTGGCCTGACCTTAACGCCATCAGCCGTCAGGCTTCCTTGCATCGCAACATCTTATCGAATATCTAGTCACTTGAAAGCCAAATGCTACCCGTTTCTCCATGTCAAGCGCTCAAAGGATATCGGAGAGATGATGAGCTTACTAAGGTCGTGCCTAATGTCTTTGCTGTCTTTCACTTTAAAACAATTGAGTGCACGTAGTTACCTTTGGAAAGGCGAAGAAAAGCCCAGTAATCTTCGACTTCGTCATCAGTTGGTGTATGGTGTCTCAGTCTCGCTTGAAGTGCACAACACATTGAAGGAGCAGCTCATCTCCTGAGTCGACTTATTCCCGTAATGAGACTATTTGATTCCAAGCAAAGGGCAAGGCTTACTTAGAATGTTGCTGTTTTTTGTTGCCATATTGACATGGTGGTCGGGCTTGAATGCTGCAGTGACCTAGCTGCCTTGGACACGTGCTTCATATGCAAATCGGCCGACTTACTCGAAGGGCTCTTTTACCTCAACCGCACGAAGGGTTTAACTTATACGGTGGATGTCAATGACTTGTCAGAGAAGTGTGAAAGCCAGTACCAGCAAACTCAATTGCGCTGGTCATTGCCGTCTTCTTGAATGGAAACCCCGAAATTGGACATGTCAACGGTTGGAGATATTGAAGACACATCGCAAGATCGACCTCAATGGCCTCTTGATTCCAAGCTATTGCCTTCGGTTCATAGATCCTCACCCAGTCTCTCCAGTTAAAATTTCATTGACAATCATGTACTTATGCATCAATTACATTAGCTACGCCTCCAGTGCGCAGCTATCTACCCCAGCTCCCCAAATCACCAGTAAACGAAACTGTGACAGCCATAACTACTGCACGGCATGTATGCGGTCCTTAAAGCTGCTGCTGATTATGAAAGTTGTGAATCTTTCTCCACCGACCATTAGTGGAACCTCTCTTCCTAAGATCCGAAGATGCCTGATGCCATAATGGAAATGAATAGAAGAGTCAATGATTAATACATAGGAATGATTCAATACGAACGCATTGATTGTACCACAGGTCTTTGAGCAGATCCGACGTAAACGTCAAGGGAAATACAGGTGGAGTTTATAGTCCAAACTGTCTGAAATGTGGAATGAGAGTCATGAAGTGACGGTAGGTGTGAAGGAATCAACAACTGAGTTGGATCGCTGTTTGGTGGAGTGTCAAGGATCTCAATGTTTCCTTCGAGCTTGCATAAGTGACGCACGTCTCTGCGAACACGACCAGTGGCTGTTAGGATAATCGCCTCACGCACTAACCCGTCTGATCCTTCGACGATATTCTCAATGATGGCTTTCGACTAACGACCTCTGGGAGCGCTTTTGTTGACAATCAGAACCAAGTCTCCTGGCTGAAATTTGGATGAACTCGTGTCCAATGTTGGGTCAATTGCAGTGTCGGGAGATAAAGCTTCAGCCATTTCTTCCGAAATATATCCGCTAAATTTTGAGCCTGGCGCCATCTTCGGTTAAATTTCCGACATGATATTTCATCCGGAACGGAGACCGATTCGTTGCTGCGAAGTAGTAACAATTTATTAGAACTTACTACGTATTGATCATCCGGGTCATCGAACTTCTTCACCAATGGACGGTCGTTCAACATACGTTCTATTTCCACTATCGCTGTACACAAAACTTCATNTTCTAATAAATTGTTACTACTTCGCAGCAACGAATCGGTCTCCGTTCCGGATGAAATATCATGTCGGAAATTTAACCGAAGATGGCGCCAGGCTCAAAATTTAGCGGATATATTTCGGAAGAAATGGCTGAAGCTTTATCTCCCGACACTGCAATTGACCCAACATTGGACACGAGTTCATCCAAATTTCAGCCAGGAGACTTGGTTCTGATTGTCAACAAAAGCGCTCCCAGAGGTCGTTAGTCGAAAGCCATCATTGAGAATATCGTCGAAGGATCAGACGGGTTAGTGCGTGAGGCGATTATCCTAACAGCCACTGGTCGTGTTCGCAGAGACGTGCGTCACTTATGCAAGCTCGAAGGAAACATTGAGATCCTTGACACTCCACCAAACAGCGATCCAACTCAGTTGTTGATTCCTTCACACCTACCGTCACTTCATGACTCTCATTCCACATTTCAGACAGTTTGGACTATAAACTCCACCTGTATTTCCCTTGACGTTTACGTCGGATCTGCTCAAAGACCTGTGGTACAATCAATGCGTTCGTATTGAATCATTCCTATGTATTAATCATTGACTCTTCTATTCATTTCCATTATGGCATCAGGCATCTTCGGATCTTAGGAAGAGAGGTTCCACTAATGGTCGGTGGAGAAAGATTCACAACTTTCATAATCAGCAGCAGCTTTAAGGACCGCATACATGCCGTGCAGTAGTTATGGCTGTCACAGTTTCGTTTACTGGTGATTTGGGGAGCTGGGGTAGATAGCTGTGCACTGGAGTGTAACGTTCGGTGGACGTTGTTGATTCCTTCTGGTGGCGAGTGAAGTCATTGGCTGTACGTGAAATCGATAAGAGCCCTCCTTTAGGTTCCAGTTCAAACCAATAGTACGTTGAAGTGACGGTTCCTTTAATGAAAGCTGGACACAGTCCACCGCGCAGTCAGATTCTGGTAATAATTTCACTATCCGTAAATCGTTGCTCACTCATTTCGAAAGTTTGAATCCGCCGTCTGCCAGCATCGATTTCAACTGACCCGCGCAAGTACGGGTCAGTCACCAATAGTTCGGGTGCTTGAATAAGCAATCGTCTACATAGAAACATTGTTTGGCTTCTTTCGCAACGTCCACGTAAGATTTTCCTTTGTCAAGAACTGCACGATTCAACGCGAATGCTGCGCAACTTGGGGAGAATGTGGCACCAAACAGATGAACACATATTCTATACTCCAGCAGAGGCCCTTCGAGTTTTTCACTATCCCACCACAAGTAACGCAAAGCATTACGACCTTCTGGAACCCGTACTCGGTGGAACATAGCTTGTATATCGGTCATTACTGCGATCCTTTTGCGCCGAAACCTAAGAAGGACGCCGATGAGCGAAATGTTTAAATCGGGACCTGACATCAAACTTTCATTCAGAGAAAACCCATTGAAAGCTGCGGCACAGTAAAAAACTATATGAAGGTTTCCTGGTTTCATTGGGTGGAAAAGTGGATGGTGTGGGAGATACCATATCAAACCCAAAGATGATTCTTGCGCCCGTTCCGCGTGAGACTCAAATAATCGCTCATGACTTCACAGTAGCGTTCGCGCAACAGGTCGCACTGCAAAAGTCGTCTACGCAGCTGGTTCAGTGGACGAAAGACGGCCAACTTGTTATCAGATAACGAGTAAGGATCAGTCAAACATGATAATGTTATATCATAATGGTCATCTTTTGAATATCACAGTGTTTTGCATTATCGTGAGAGCCTTTCGGTCTAGAACGGACATTTCCTTGTCTTTTGGAGGTCCAAGATCCAGCATATCTTGCTGGTAAAAACGCTCCAGGTTTTTCTCAAAATTACATTATCGTGTGATTTACAAGGGAGTGTTGTGTACCACATCTATAAAATGGACCCATCAATGTCCAACCAAGTGGCGTTTCGATAGCGAATGGTTCGTCTGGGCTGCCTTTCCGTTGTTCCTCTATCCAATGAGCCCTAGGTACATCGGATCCGAGTAAAATACCGATCTTAGTGTCGTATTTATCGAATGGGACATCCTTTAAACGTGTCCATCTTGCTAGCTGGTAGTCGTTCGGAACAATTCGGTTGATTTCAGGGAGGTTCTCGTTGAACACAGATTGATTCATTTGAACCCGGACAATCTACATCAAACCTCACTTCTGTTGACCGAAGAGTTTTATCGTCAGTCAATGTTTTCAAGGTGAGTTTGGTATGCTGACCACGCAAATTTAGTCTTCTCGCAAGGGCTTAAGACATGAATAAGGAATCTGAGCCACTATCGGGAAAGGTGCATGTACTGCTGGTTCGAGCTCCATTTCTGACAATAACTGGAACGACCGCAAGAGCTACACCACGGGAGGAAATACGCGGAAACGCTTGATCGGAGCGATGTAGAGAAGTGTGGTGTGATGATACGCTTGGTTCTTCATCATTCTGAACACTTAAGTGTAACAAATGGTGGTGACGACCGCTGTATCTGTTGCGAGAGCAGACTGTTCGCGACCTGCAGAATTTCGCGACATGGTTCGGGCGTAGGCGCAAATTGCACAGTTTACGGCGCATTACGACTTCACATTTCTCTGATGACTGCAGTGAATTGCGCACATTGATCAGGATAATGGGCTTCACCACAGACACTATAGCAAGGATCGATACCGGTACGAGAAACTAACGTCTGAGTAGAATGAATATTTCTACCGTGTATTTGACCGGATAGTGGTGGCCTTTTTCTCGCTCGTTGCTCGGACGCTAGACAGAGCAAGTTCGCCGTAATCTGAAAACAGGATATCAACACGTGCATCAAGGCAGTAAAGTCAGTCACGATCTTCTCGTCTGATGTTAGCGACAGCTTTGGCCCATTTGAAACGAAGCAGAGAAGGTAATCCTCGTACAATGGTCTGAAACGTATGTTGGGAATTAAGATGGGATGAATAAACCATTTCTGTTGATGTTACCTCACACACGGCTAGCTGTTGTGCCAAATCGGAGAGGGCGGACGAATAACCATCTTTAACAGTGGGCCCAGTGATCAAATCGTCGATAAACGCTCTGGCCACCCTGTAATTCTGGCCAAATCATTTTCTTGAAATTTCCTTCGCGAGCCCGTAACCTTCGTTGGATCGTAGGACCGTGCAATGCTCAATCCTTTTTTGCTTCGCCGTCACAATATTGTATTAAATAACCCAGGCGAGCCTCATCGTCTCGGGTACAGTCTTCAATAGTACTGCTGAACGCTTTCATGAAGGTCCAATAATCCTTCGAGTTCCCATTAAAGCGTTGCAGTTCGCGCTTCGGTAATTCCAGTCGCCTTTCCAGGGCAAAGGCTATGGACTTCGAATCAACTGGATTTGATTGAAATTCAGTGCGCGAGTCACATTCGTCCTAATTGCTCCTTTTGGCTTTCGCTTCCGGAAGTTTCTGCAGTTCAAGTTGAATTTCTAACTCCCTGGTACGCAGACGTGCGAGCTCCAGATTGAATAGAATTTTCAATAATTAATACATAGCGATGATTCAATACGAACGTACATGCAAGATCGTACTACAGACCTTTGAGCAGATCCGACGTAAACATCAAGGGAGATACAGGTGAAGTTTATAGTCCAGTGTCTGGAATGTTGAATGAGTCATGAAGTGTCGGTAGGTGTGAAGGAATCAATAAACGTCCATCGAACGTCACAATGCTGTTGCTAAAATCGGTTCTGCATCCGAGATCTATGCGAACGTGGCGTTTAACATCTGTGCGTTACGTAGTTTGTTTATCCTTCACTACTCACGGACTAGCACACCGTCGGGGAATTCCACTGGTCGGCTAATGAACTCCACTGGAATGCTTCACGCCGATCCGCAATGTGGCGAAACTCGGATGCGCTGAACGCGTTCACTCCGATAATCCATTCGGTTCGTTAAGCGTCCAATGTCGAATACCAGAAAGTAACGGCCGATGGTTCGGTAGAATTCGACTATCAAGGTGTGTGTTCACTGAATAGATGCTTTGGTTGGAGTTGTTTTACTTGACCCAATCGTGAAGTAATCTGTAAACAGTGCAGATGGCAGGTTTGTGTTAAAATGCTACGCACCGAGTCCAGCTTTGAAAAACCAGTAGTTTAAGGTCAATGCATCTGTCGGACCTTCCATTTCTGGCCGCATTATTTCGAACGTATGCTTGTGATACGGAATTGAGTGTGGAATGTTCGCCAAAAGGCTTCGCAAATGTGTTAGTGTTGGACAAGTCTACCCATTCCAATCATTTTTATTTAATTCCGTCTTTGATGAGATAATGAGACGAACACTGGAAAGTCCCCGAAACCCTAGTGTAGTTATCTACCCGAGCACGAAACTTGTCGACCTGAGGTATGGAGACAACACTGATCTAATTTTTGAAAAAGGGCGGGAAGGGCAAGCATTATTAGAAAAACTGACCAAGGACATCCAATTCTCCGGGATATCCTTGGCACCCACAAAGTTCGAAGTCCTGCTGCGGTGCGCAGTATTTGAACCATTTCGGGCGGAGGATATGAGGCGTCTTTGCGAATGATCTCTCAGAACTGTAACTGAAATCAACAGATTGCATGTGATCATACGACGGGTCTTGGACGGAGCAGACAGTACTTCACACAAAGAACACATCCAGCATTGCGAGCTAACTTAACTGGACCATGCATCAGGCGGGCTGAGTTGCTACCTATTGAGACGAGCGCTGTTTCCTGTGCCTACTTTGGAGTGGCGGAACACATGAGGTGCATAGAATTGGGCGTGGCGGAATGGAATAAGGGGTAGAATATCATAAACGAGAGATCCAGTTGAGTCTCTCGTGAAAACCAAATTGATTTGAAAATGAGCGTATTTCTCGGAATAAGGGGTACTATGAAAATCATAGATGCTGTTCAACTTTTGGGATGTGGCCCACGTGACCCTCCGTATACTTTTCTGGAGACTGCATGGGCTGGAGGCCAATCACGCTATCAGTTTCCCTCCCGATTGTTAGAAGATTAGGCACGTAGGATATATTAATGATAGGCTACCCTATCCTACATTCCTATTTTCCATTGTAATGTCTTGTCCAAATGAATCGACGTAATTTTATGGCAGCGAAGCACCACTGCTCTATCCCTGCTGTTGCTTTCATTGATAAGACTTAACTACAGCACCAATGCACGGAACACCGAATTATTTCATTCAAAAAATCAGAGTGAGTTCATATAAATGTAACTACTGAAATCTATTCTGACAAAACAAAACAACAAAATCTATCTGACAAAACATTCAGTAGTCTACGTGAAAATCAATTTGATGTTCGAATGAATGTATTTGTCGAAATAATGAGTTAACTTTGACACTGACGATGGCCGCAGAGGGCAGTACATCCAGCAAGAAACTGCAGGTAGAAACTAACACACGATGCATTTTACGTATTGAAAGGCCTCCAACTATGAAGATGAACTCCAAGGGCGAACAAATTCGTGATCTCCATGAAAGTCGGCTGAAGTCGCAAAGCTCTCTGTGTCATCAGCCTGCCGGTAACGACCCTCAAATAGTCGTTGCTCGAACTTCTGTAGATAGTCATTCTTGTTCATGACATCTGCGCATCCGAAATCAGTATTCGCTAGTATTACCTCATGATCGGACAACGACCCAAAATGAAGTAAAGAACAAACGTAGGAGTAGTGGGTATTCTGCTAGTTTGATAAGAAGTCAGTTACGAAGGGCATTGGTACATGTGGCGAAACCCAACAGGGAATGGATTGGGGCCAAATTCATTTGAAGCATTTTAAACACGCCTGACATAAGAAGGGAAGCACCAAGTTATGCATAAGTGCAATTGAAGGATCACCTCCCGAAGAACAGAGCCAGGGACGCTACAAAATTAAGTGCGACGAGTACCCTAAGGTCTATTCGGGAAGCGGGACCGAGGGACTTCACAACAGAATCGGGAAGCAAAAACAAACAGGCAGCCAAGGAACTCAGATGAGTATCGAACGTTATTGAAAGACCCAGCAATGGCGGGCCACGCAATGGATAGTGACACAACAGATTAAGAAAGTGTAGAGGTTTGGAGGCGGGGACTACGGTCCACGCCACAGAGATTAATGGCCGAGGTGGAGAAAAATCGCTCAGCTGTAGCACCCTTTGGTTGCCCAACTGTCAAGACACCAGAAGGGGGCACGGGGGCTACTACTTCTATTACCAGATTGCTTAAACCTAGACAGGGGAAGCCGAAATGCAGAGGTCGGGTTCGAACCACGGACCTTCCGGTCGGCAAATTCGCGCTCTAACGACTGAGCCAGCTTGCGGTGGAAATCGCCAAGCAGCTTAATAGGACAGAACACTTAGATCTGGAAGCGTGCTGACGTGCGGTTATCAGAAAGAGGAGTCATCAACAGAAGTAGCGCAAATATATGGTGCACTTAATCTCGCCCACCCCCCACACCCAATCGATTGAAAAAACAGTGATTGTGACAAATGCACCCGATGTCGAAAACGATGCACATTGTTGGTAAAACCGACACTGTAGTCTTCAAGCATTTCTTCAGGATATAAATACTGCCGTAGTATTTGGATCTGTTTGGCTGATCAGTATGTGAAATCAGATTGTCGCCTCTGCAACGCATCCACACCATTTGCACAGTTACCGGGATTCCACTGGGGATAAGATAACCTACCAACTGCCAAGTCGCCCTTCATGTCAAGGAAGGGCCACCGCCGAACTTACAGAGAAGTTCTGCGTTTTTCGGCTCTCACGCGGCGTCACTGCTGTCTCACAGCTGCGTTCACCTCACTGTGCACACTGCACTCACTATCACAACCCAGTGGCCCACTCTGCTCAGAATACATTACGCGAGAAGACAAAGGTAATGATGTACATGAAGGCCGGATGCGTAAATTCCGGTCACTTCATACATTGTTCGAAACGGACGGCAATGTGCCGATGTTCGACCAGAGCCTATTTGAATTCCGAATGACCTCGACAAATACCTTCATTTGTATATTTGTTTGGATTTCACAGGGGTCTCAGCTGAATTTTCCGTTTATCGTATTCTTCAAATGAATGTGCTGCGCTTCATTTTTCAGTTGGTACAATATTTGATATCGCAGTAAAATTTAGTAAAGGAAGATACTCACAACGTTGTTGAAAACTTTTCGGTAACACACGACCAGTCTCGCCCCTCTTGGGGCTCATCAAGTAGGCACAGTCCCCGAGTTTCGGTCAACCTACGTGAACCTAGATAGATCAAACTATTGGTAAGAGTATGATCACCTCCACGCCTTTTGTTATTCTAATTAGGATGCTTTTGTCTGCTGTCCACCCCTAGGTTTCCTGAACCTGGGACCTCTTTCAACGAAAGCTGCCAAAATAACCTCTTGACAGCAGTCTCAAATAAAGTGTACAACTCTGGGAAAGGATGACCTTATTACTCTCACAACTCGAACACAAGGACATGCAAACCGACTCCATGTAGTTAATTATGAAGCTGCTCATTCGATGCACTGCGTTCACCAACAGGGTTGTAACCGGCGTCTAGGTACGAAAACCAATTAAGCCCCAGCTGGGTCGGGGGTTGTCACGTGAAGGTAGTTACACGTGGCTAGGCGATTTCTTTGAAAATAGAATCAAGTGTATTGAGGCTAGATTCTACCGGATCGGATTAAGCAACCATTGATTTGACACCTAACTTTTGGTCCACAGCCATAGGTAGGGAGACGGCATTCGGTTAAATCGCCTCATATATCCCTCCTAAATGGAATGCGCTACGGGGATCCCACCATCGTGTAGTACTACTAACCAGGGCTCTACCAACAGAGGTGAAGCTGTGGGATACTGTAGTCACGCAAACATTCTGTAGTTAGAAATGCGCTCCAAGATTGTTCATGCCCTTCTCACACGGCGAGACTAAGTGGCCGGTAGAATTCTTTTTGCGGATTTTTTCGGAACAACCTCAGCCTCGATAAAACTGTTGGTAACTTGTCGGCAAAAGACGCGTTCCTTTTCGTCATCGTTCACATGTATATACATCCCGACAGACTGCAAAACCCTAGCGAGAATCCCGACAAAACGCCTTCGGACAATAACCCAGTGTAAAAAAGAGCTGACGGAATATCCGGCAATCTCGGGCAAACGGCTCCGATTAGATTGTTTTAACGGGAATCCACACTGAGTTCCGAACTCAGAGTGCTGATGAAAAGATGCGCGAATGAACAGCCAAAAAGTGTCCTCAAGTATACATATTCCGATACCTGAGAGAGAAAAAGACGAATTCAACACTGGGCGTCAAACCTCCCTCTGTATGGTACCAGATGGCAGAAGAAATGGTTGTCGAACGGTCAGCCAAATTTGATCAGTCGGGGAGACACGGTCTATCCGCGGTCATGTGGACACTCCCTGTTTACCTAGTTGCGTTTGCATAACCTCTAGAGTATCCTTAGTCAGTTCTCTGAGAACATCCGTGTAACTGGTCGAGTACCTTCCTCACAGAACTCTGACTTCGTGCAACGACAAGCCAGTGTCTAGTATTACGCGGATGTGGGCCCGTTAGGTATTTTATAGAAAGTAGTCGTAAATTATTCGTTCGGCACAAAGAGTACCCTCGCTTACTAGGAGTAAGCATAAAACCACTGAACAGTCAAGCTGACAGCGGAGCAGTTTTCAAACGAACAAATCGAGTTACTCCTGGAGGTTTTCAGTCAGGAACGAATGGTCCGAATACAAACTCTTATCCAAGCCACACTGGTTCTGTAGACAGCTTGTTTACTTTTTGGTTATTTACGAAAGTAAATCATATATAGTGGTGGGACCACTTACATTGTCAACCGAGGTCGTTCCTGATACTGTTCCACATACTAAAGTTTTTTCACCTTGAGACATATTTTACCATCTTGTTGGAAATTGAGTTGCCCAAAGGAATTTAGCTAGGGGGGTCGCACTCGCTTTGGATGAATCTTTTCATGAATTCAGTCGGTTTGACGTGAGAATTTCTAGACACGCGGACAACACAACACAACACAAAACGATTGCCTTGATAATATCCACCTTTGGGCGAAAATTAGACAATACATACTGCAAAACATGATGGAGATCATGCACCGGATAGATTCCTTTTGTGCTCACGGAGAATGTCCGACACCCAAGAGATTATGTATTTACAAATCTCGCTCTTCAACAAAAAAGGTAAGACCTATGACCACAACACTGAAAGAACCAAACCTCATCTGCGATAATAGTATAGAAGAGCAACCACCGGAGCTAGCGGAAAAGCGGTTCCTTCACCCAACTCGCTCCATGCTTTGCAGTTCACTGGCTGATTAGCGAAGGAAACGTAACGTTATGAAGACATCATTCAGTGAACATTAACACAGCATTGCCGAAATACCTGAATATAAAAATCACTACACTGAGGAGTGTTGTGTTATCACATTGTTAGGATGCTGTTAGCTGCGAAGTATTAATGAAAAACACGCTTGGTATGTGAAATAAATAAAACCTTACATCTATATTGTACCACTGAACACAGTACGGGATGGACAGGCACAAGCTTGCTCAATGAAGTGTGAAACAACATTACCCCAATCTGGGCACAGCCAGGTATTATTGTGTTGCCCACCAGGGAAACACACAAGGCCATCTTTTCCATCCTTTAAGAAACTGGAAGGGCTTGCAGAACCACAATCTGCACCGAGGTTAACATTATCACTGCCCGAAAACCGATACACATGAGCAAGCTCCTGCATCATTCTCGGGGGAATCAGGTCATCAGCGGAACCAGAAATGAAAAGAAATCGGGGACGAACAGAGCTTCTGCAGACGAATTCTCTCATCAGGTCTAAGGCAGGGTATTTGTTTATGAAAAGCGCTTTTGGAAGCAGATGGCGAGCGAAAGATCCGAACGATTTGCTGAATATGTGTTGCGCCGCCTCAGGTAAAGAAGTGAAACTGTTTTCAATTATGACACCGCGCAAGATCGCACTCCGAAGATGCGCTGTGAGCCAAATAGCAACAGCTCCACCAATTGATCTACCGAATAGAAAGAGCTTGTCCTTTGCTATATCAGTTCGATCCAGGAGGAACTCCAAGCTGGCTTTTGCGTCCGCATACAATCCTGGCTCAGTAGGCTTGCCACTACTACGTCCATAACCACGATAATCGACAATCAAGATATTACACTGTACATGGTCGGCCAGAAGACGACAAAATGGTAAACGGTGACCAATGTTCCCGGCGTTACCATGTAGAATGAGGACGGTTGGGGAAGTGGGGCGGACAGAAGGGTCATCCTGCAAAAGCAAATAGCCAGTTATCATTGGCATTGGTTTGCCATCAGGAAAGAGCTTAACCAACTCCCACGTACGGAAGCCATAATTTTCTGGATCCTCACAAAGCAACCGAGCATGTTCCGGTTCATCATAGGCGTAAACCAGAGAGTTCTCGATTGAATGGAAGAAAAATATAATGGCGAGAAAGAGGAGGGGAACAGACAGTACTAGGCCTATGGATAAATTTACATACAACAACAAAATCGAGAACGGTAGACCTAAGTAGAAAAGAAAATGACGCAGCATAGATAAGCGCCTTTTAACAAGTTGCTTCAAAGCTCTAGAATCCGCACCATTCTGAGACCCAAGCAGCGTGTACTTGTATGCAGAAAAAGGGGACGCAACAGAACGTAAAATGGTGCGTAGGCGAGCACTGATTTGAAAATGCATAGGTAAGTCACCTTCACCGTCGTCGAGATCCTGGTTGTCGGCAGACTGAAAGGAGAAGCCAACGAACTGAGAGTTACCAACAAGACAGGCAGGCAGCTTGCCGTTTAGAACAGACCAACATACAAAGCAAAGGATGGAATTCGATTAGAAGTAGAAAACCTGAGGTTAAACCTAGGGATACCGGATAGTTACATTTATTGTGTTGGATGAAAAATAACCCGACTTTAACGAAGAATGGAGTAAGTTCACGGAGAACGGCCGATAAATGGGCTACCTGGTATGACAACATGGTGATCTCACATCTGAAGGCATGAAGTTCACGGCCCTTTTCAGAAACTAGTCGGCTAAATGAATTTCCTTGCGAGGGAAGCATTGCTCCTTGAGGAGACAAATGTCTCAGAACCGAGCAGATCCCCTAAGATTTCGGTTAGCCGGTTTATATACTGTTTTGTAGCATAAACGGACTTTGAACTCAAAAAACTGCGATACGGATGGATATTAACTTAAAATAGGACAAAGCAGAGAACAGCAGAGAGAAGCAGAGTTCACATCGTTACGGCCGAGCAGCTTACAGTTCCTTAAACGGAATACTCACTTCCCAAGGACTTGCATATGAGGCTGGTGGTAATTACGCATATTTAGTGCGTTCCAACAGTGTCCCAGGCATGGATAAGAACGCATTTAGAGCATTGAATGACATGCCTGGATGCGGAAAGCATGACACGATTTCGGCTCAGAGAGATACACTGTTAAACTCCTCACATGTCTTGTCGTTAGAGCATTGTACAGTAAGATACTAACTAAAAAATCAAGCAAGTAGGCCTAAAGACTGAAGCCAATGGAGACTGGGACTCTAAAAATAAGGATGTATGCCTAGCATCAATTACCGAACGCCGATCCGATGCCACTCGTAAAACTACTTCCACAATACAGAGGGGGCCAAATGGTGAACGCATGGCCCCGAAGCTAAGGCGCACACAATCAAGTTTTTACTAAGATCAAACAATTCACGAAGGTCTATTCGTATTGCCCCGTAGAGTACGCTTGTCACCAGAGAACGAAGTATGTGAATTTCCCAGTGACAGACAGACAATATGAATGCCTGAGATGGGCCTATAAACCTAGTCTTGACGAAAATGAGGCGAGAGACGAGATCTAGTAACGAATGCTCTTCCTTCACCACATATAAGAAAATTCCATGTGTGACCATCTAAATTACTCAAAATAGTGAATTGAATACTCGATCTGACAAATTGTCACCATCACTTATTACTATGAAGTCATGCGAACCATCGAATTTAATGAATGACACCCGTCTCTTGTTACCATCAGCCTCGTCGAAGTTATTGACGATCAAAGAGTAGTCAGTATAAGAGAACTTTGGCAAACAGCTTATAATTGGGCAGATGGATGGAAACAGAGCGACCACTGATTGATTGGCCCAATGTATCGAAACGGAGTCCGAACTGTATGGAGTGAATACTTACAATCACGTTCTGAAGCACAAGCTGGTCCATTCAATGAGACTCAGCAGCTGGTGACATTGCACCAAATTGTGAATCTACCTACGTTCATCCATAGGAATATATTGTATGAAGAGGGAGTGCTTTTGTACGGCGCTCATGTGTGAACCCAGGCCCTCGGACAATCGGGAAACATCGACAGGTATTGGTGTGAAAATTTTCACGGTGTTCCACGTGTATGACCGGTGGCTCAACTGTAGCTACAAAGAAGGTGGACCATCGAACCTTTGGATACATTTATCGTTCCCACGATTGGATAGAGGGACATGAGTAGTGGTCCACTGGAACCAGGGAAGGAACCATGTAACTTATAACAGGTGATCACCAAAAGTAACGATCAGGACTGGAGAGGGATGAGTATACAATTAACAACCGGACTATCAGCTTTTAACCAACATATCACAGCACCACTCTTGTGAAATCATTGATGCGGGAAGTATCGGCTGCATTACAAAGCAACTGGTCACATGCAGATTTATCCTATGGTGTTCTCGCAACATCAATACAAAAACAGCGCGAAACGACTTTTTGAATAAACAATCTTAGCATCGTAGTAAAATTCGAATGATCGCTTTATCCTCCAACCGAGGCGACTTTATACCTAATAACAGACCCAAAAACACAACCCACGTTAAGTGGAAAGATGGGGCCAAACGATAACCGCGGTGAGCAAAACGCAGTGTTCAGTCAAAATGTATTTGTACAAAATAGAATGAGGATAAAACGGCGGGGATAGCATGAAGCTTTGTACAGGTGCAAGGTCGAAGAGCTATTAAGTGCTCAAGCCGGCTTTCTTTTCGGCAATCACATAAATCAATAGTCTCCACATCTTCACTACAAATACTTCGGCCTCCTCATCTAGAACCTGAAAAAAGAGAGAAATTAAACAGAGTTAGTTGACGATGCAAATAAACAAATGCGAGATGTCCTCTAATTTTTCTACCGCGATATCGTTAGCCCGACCCTTAGGCGACGCTGTCAAACCACAACTTCACCACTGGTACCATTATGGAAGACTACCAGCCTCTAATGCCTGTGATGTCGAAGTGCCCCAGGGGCGTCCGCTCACAAATGTCGAGTAGGCGGACGACATAGCTCTTCTTGGCTCTGACGCAGTGGTAACGCAAAGAATATTAAATAATCTAAATAATTCTGCCTCATGGTTTGACATGAGCTTCATACCTGCAGAGTGCTATTGCAAGACTGGGTAGGCTTGGACCCAAGCCTCATGCTTGTGGATTAGCCGATTGAGGTGGTAGACAAAGTTGTCTGCCTGAACAGGTGTGTCGGTTCCGGCGGTCTCGTAAAAGATGATATTTCTATCTGGATTGGGAAAGCCGGAGCAGCTTAGTTGCACCTGTATCACCTGCGGGGGCAAGCGTCACATCAGCTTATCCGTCAAGGGTCGAGTTAGCAATGCTGCGGTGCGTTCCGGATCACAATAAGGGTCAAAAACTTGGACGAAGCGGGTTGAGGAAATCAAAAGTCCATCGGTGTCTTTCGAGCATTGCCCGAGTCCTATAGGAACACCGGATCTGCAATACTGAAGTAAGTCGAATGGTTTTCGGAGAACTCGCCAACGATAGATGAACTGATCACACTCCATAGGTTGCTTTGGCTTTTCCACGTGTTTCGTATGCAAGTCGACCAACTTCAGTGAAGGTTGGACGCTGTTCAGGGGAGGTCAAACAGTGACTTGACAGCGAAGTATGAAAGCCATTACCAGCAAACTCAGCTATGCTAGCCAGTGCCGTCTTCCTGGATGGAGATCCCGAAATCGGACAGGTCAATGGTTGGAGACATTATCAGACATGGTGCAAATGTGCTCTCAATAACGATCGTGCATCCAACCTATTGTCTTTAATGCGCACCTTTCTTCCCACCACTTCACAGCCCCCTCTCCATCTCCCTAAAAGCTTCGGTGGACTAAACCGTGGCAACTATATCCACTATAGGATAAGTACGGTGTTCTTAAGCTGAAAATGATGATGATGTTCAAACAGCTTTAGCTCAATAAAAAACATGAACCGAACCACCGGGCAAAAGCTGATCCTAAAGTAGATGTTCCAAAAAGTGACAATCAAATGATCGTAATGGGTTGAGTAATACGCGAAGGCTCCATATGGTTCTGGACGGCGCAGCACCATGCAAAGTAGTACTCGGGCCGCAAATACTGGAAATGAGCAACCCATAAGGCTCGCTTAAACAGAACTTGAGCAGCTGAGCAGTGTTAATATTTGAAATAAGGAATATCCGGTTCGATGGTCGGACATGTCCCATCAGATACATGGGTTTTGGAGTGTTATTATTCAAAGGGGCAGCATGAACCAAAACATTCACAGTTGTGAGTCAATATGCTCCGAAGTGGATGATACTGCCGAAAACTGGTCTACGGACGTGCTATACGAGGTGGAAAAAAATTCCATACACCCAAAGTCTCCTATGTGATAATCAGTCCCAGAACGAAGTTGTATAGTAAGATATGAACATATGCTTCTGAGAACCTGTGGAGATTCGTGGGAGAAAATCAATGCATTTCTTACAAGCATTACAGTCATTGGCAGAAAATAAGTTCCAAGTGCGAACCACCTAGCATTAGTCACGAATTTAAAGATTCTTCCAAACTACTGCAGACGATGCACATCGCCGCACCAAATAAAAAAACGAGCCATTATATTTAGTTAGGCATTGATTGCAATGGGACTAAGAGAGCCGCTACCAAGTTGCAAAGAAATCTGGAGAATGAATGAAGTGTTGAAGGTAACTCGAATAGTTTTTGAAGAAACCTACTCTGAAGATTCCGAACTATGGCTCGCATGTGTTAAATGAATGGGAGTTAATGTGCGAGCCGTCGATATCGAGGTACAACGATCCAGCTAGTTACCTAATAGGCAGTCGGTACGTCTAATCTACAATATACTCGCCTGAAGGGCCTCACGCCTGGACACAAACACACTGATAATTTATGAAGCAGAAAAAAGCCATTACGCCGAGGTACAATCTTATAGTTCATTGGTGATGCAGCGCGACCGACGTGTGGGAGCTCATTGTCTGGCGAACCTTAGTGATAGCGAAAAGCTTCATCAATGCAAAAGCTAACCAATATAGCCGGAAGAGTTCGAAGGAGATTCAAAGCGGGTAATGGGGAGAGAACGGCGCCTAATGTGTAAATAACACGAGTGATGAGAAAACTTGTCATGTTTTGGTCGGTCAGTACAACGTAGCAGCCTTCCTACCTACCAAAATGACCATTCACAGAGCGAACGTCTATTTACCAATTAAGCTGTTTCTTTGTATTAGTATTTGTTGGCAAGCTACCGTGCAACAGGACCATTGAGAGGACTGAGATTCTCAACTAAGCTGGCTGCGCCGGCATGGTCAGGTGTTCCGTATGCCAACAGACCGCCTTCCTCGAAGAGCCCTTTTCGCACAAAGGGACGTCAAGTAATCAATTGGAAGCGGAGTGCGAAAGCAATCACAAACAAACTCAGTTGCGCTGGTCATTATCGTATCCCTGGATGGGCTCACACCAACGGTTAAAGACACTGACAGACATGGCCCAGTCGCGCACTTAAGGGTGCACATGCATCCATTCCACTGAGTAGCTCCCCCAATCTACCTAATGACGAGTCCACTGCCACTCCCGCACTGACACATCACTCATATGGCAGATATCTAACCCCACCTCCTCAGGTCAACGGTGAACGAAACTGTGGCAGTTACAATCACTGTATGGCAAACACGCAGTTTTTACAGCTGAAGATGATGGTGATCAAGTCAATAGCTCAGGCTCAAGGTTTATATAAAAAAACTTCCAATATCGCGCAAACTAGTTTACAGCTGGTATCATCATCAGTCGCAATGGTCAGCGTGCAAAACCAGAAATTATGGTACCAATGGGACGATAAATATATACTTCATCTGAAAGGATTCAGTAGAGAAAATGAAATGCCAACGTACCATTGCAATGTCGGACAATATACGTTCTGGTGGATGGTGATGCAAGAGCTGATCACAAATGAAGTTGGAAAGGGTGGCCTCGGCTTCACCAATATAGCCAATTATCTTCTTGTCCACCCAGGGCTTTATGCGCGTATTGATGAAGTTCTGAAGATCAAGGAAATCATAACGGAATGAAGTTAGTGCCAGCCACAAAAACCAGACATCTAAATAGCTATCGTCAGTTGTGCTCAGCGCGTCTACATTACCACAAAATGGTTCAGCGAATAAGGGGCATGAGGATACAATAAAGCACTTAATGCCTGTATAAGGAAATAATATAAAGATAGGTTGGCAGCTACAAGTACCCTCGGCTGCATAAAGAATGGTTCAGCTGTAGCACCTTTTTCGGAAGGAAGAACGAGGGCTGGGATAATGCCAGGTTGCCAAAGCCTACAAAGAAGTCGAGGTGTAGAAGCCGGGTTCGGAACACAGACCTTCAAGTCAGTAAATTCGCACTCTAACCACTGAGCCAACTCGTCCCCTTTCGTTGCACAGCGAAGAACTGATTGCCGCCCTTTGATAAGCAAGCGAAAGACCAGACCACATCTGCTCGTCACTTTGGTCTGCTATCCATGGGCAGTGTGAGGAATATGGCTACGGACGTTGATAAACGCTGATATATCCTAGTTTATACCATCTCTTCTAAATGAAAGCTCTATGGGAAGGGTCGCAACTACGAGGTTCAACAAGCGATTTTTTTCAAGGCGGGAGGGGGGCAGGTCAAATTCTGCAAAGTGCTAAAGACCGCGGGGGAACCTAGTCAACCCGGAGAACGCTATATAAAAAAGCTTCTCTCGAAGAGTCTCATTTCACAACAGGACTTTCCAAAAACGGTGACCTGCGATTAAAAAAAAAACTGGTGATGTCCGAGATGATAAAGATGAAGATGAAATGGCGGGCTATCCGAGTATCAGACTAAACTCTGAACGATGACTTTACGTCAGGTACGAAAAACGGATAAATCGCGAAATCCAGTTTAGGCTATAAAATGAAGACCAGCAGTAAACATCGTACAGGCTAATAGGTGCAGCCAGCTTGTGGCTTCTAATGCATTTCGACTATAAAGGGGAAAACACTTACGGCATCAACTACATCCCAGTCGATAGGATAGCTGAAGATTTCTTTTTTTGCTGTGGGGATCCCTTTAATGATCTTCTTAATTAGAGCATTTCGTTCCTCGCTGGTGAAGTTTGCCACCAAAGCAGCTGCGGACATTGAATCTAAACCGTTTGACCGAGTATTTGTGATTGGCTCTGACGATGTGGTCGGAGCTGCGAAGGCAGAAGGCGGGAGCCAACTTAGGGCTGGCTTCTTGGATTTTTCTTCGGGTTCTTCCTCAGTGAATGCAGCAGCTTTTTTACGCACCACAGACTCCGCTGCAATGGAGAAAGAACATAATACGCAGGTGCAGCTACAACTTAAATTCATGCACAATGCCAGGAGAAACGGTGGTCTAGTGAGAATACACAGCTAGGCGACTTATGATATTATTGGGTTAGGATAGGATGAAGTCAAACGGCTACTTAGACTCCGCTCCTCGCTTGTTAATCAATTAATCAAGTAAGTTGAATTTAACCACCAGAAAATCTGAGACAGGGAAAGAGCGAAATCTTGCGAAAACAGACAGGATAAACTGTAAAATGAATTAACAATTCACCTGCGTAGTTTCCACATTGAAACCGGAGGCCAGCGAATGCTAGAGGACTACAAAAGGGGGAATTACGCNAGACAGGGAAAGAGCGAAATCTTGCGAAAACAGACAGGATAAACTGTAAAATGAATTAACAATCCACCTGCGTAGTTTCCACATTGAAACCGGAGGCCAGCGAATGCTAGAGGACTACAAAAGGGGGAATTACGCTAACAGGCCTAGTGTGTCAACAAGCAGGATACCCATCTTCCAGTCATCTTTGAGTGACAAAGAGCAAAGACCGCAAAGATTTCTGTACGGCCGCAGTTCGCTGCAGCTAGGTTAGGTTAAATTAGCGCGTAACAAAACTGTTCAAATCGGTGTTGTGATAGTAGCAAGTGTTTCCACGGATATTTATCCGCGGTATCCAGCTCCGATGCAACCTGCTTAGGACGAGAGTTAGAAGCGCTCGGCATGGTCATGGTGGCCAGACGATCTTATGTCGTGGAAACTGTGGCCAACCGGAGAGTTTGGTGCATATTTTGCAATCCTGCTGGATCACGCATGATGCCAGATGTGCTCGTCATAATCGGGTTGCAAGGGAACTTGCAAAACGTCTCCGTCGACTGGGGTACACCGTCTTCGAGGAGTTGAGAACCCCTACTTCTACGTCGTTCATCAAACCTGACCTAATCGCTGTCCGGGATCGCCGTGCAACTGTAATAGACGTCAGCATAGTCTCGGATGGGCGTGGAGAGATAGTGTGGAATGAGAAGAAGCAGAAGTATGGTGCTGATGAACATTCCCTCGCCATAATCTCAGCCCTACATGCCATCGGTTGTGATATCGACTTTTTGGTTCACCAACCGGTGATCATCTCCTATCGAGGGATCTGCTTTCCTCAATCCGCCAAGGCTGTTGTTGGACTGGGACTTCCTAAGGTCACAGTCAGTGACTTGTGTTTGCTTGCCATTGTGGGCTCCCTGCGTACTTATGACACTTTTATGCGTGGCACATGAAGCTGAAGGTACATTTTTGCCATTCAGTCTCACCCCATACCCAGTATGACGGTCACCTTGTGCCTGATGTGCGAGTCTTGACTGTGCTAGCGCATACTGCGCCTTGAAGAGCATTCACCATTGTTTGTCCTTTCTTTGGTTGTTAGTCTTTAGACGCCTGTTCCCATACCAAAATCTTTACATACTTTGGGATTCACCTCATCAGACTGGCACTG